GGGGGGGAGGAAATAGGATAATATTTTAGCCTGCTTAATGTTGCATGGTGAAATAAAATAGTTGTGCAGTAAAAGTACTAAGAGCAGTGTTTAAAAAGTTATTAGACAATAGTCTGTATGCAAAATTGTCCAAATGTGATTTTCACAAGCCCAGTTTTCGTTACTTAGGGTACCATATCTCTGCAGAAGGTATAGAAATGGATGCAGTGAAAGTAAAGGTTATATTGGAATGGTAAGCTCGCCAGACCAGAAGGCAATTTCAAAGGGTTTTGGGCTTTGCAAATTTCTATAAACAATGTATTCCTACTTCTGTGTAGATTGCTAACAATAAGTTTGTTTAAGGTATGTAACAATGGAAAAGGCAGTGAACCTTCCCCCATCACCACCATAACCCCTTAAAGCCTTTCCTGGGAACTAAGTTGAACAAGGTTGTAACCTCCAGGAGACATGGTGGGCCATTTTAGACCAGATGCAAAGGGGAGGCCCTCTGGAACAAGGACCCTAGAGACCTTCTCCTGTTCCCACTGATGCCATTCCTTGTGCTCCAAACTCTTCCGGAGGAGAGGAAGTACAGGATAGATTCATTGGGATATAAAGAGGTTGGGAAGTACAGCAGAATCAGACTTTAGATTTAGAGAGTTGAAAGGGACCTTGAAAGTCATCTAGTCCTACCCCCTGCACAAATAGGAGACCCTACACCATTTTTGACAAATGGCGATCCAATCTCTTCTTGAAAGCCTTCAGTGATGAAGCTCCCACAACATCCAAAGGCAACTTCTGTTCCATTGGTTGATTGTTCTCACTGTCAGAAAATTTTTCCTTATTTTCAGGTTGAATCTCTTCTTGACCAGTTTCCATCCATTATTCTAGTCTGGCCTTCAAGTGCCTTGGAAAATAGTTTGACCCTTTCCTCTCTGTGGCAGCCCTTCAAACATTGGAAGACTGCTATTATGTCTCCCCTGGTCCTTCTCTTCACTAGACTAGCCATGCCCAGTTCCTGCCACCGTTCTTCATATGTTTATGACTTGCTTGATTCTCATGTTTTAGCTGATCTTTTTTTTTTTTTTTTTTTTCATTTCTGAAAGGGAGCTATAATTCACGCTGCTCTTCTCAAAATAGAGCTTGATTTGGGAAACAAAAGAGAGGAGATTCCATAGAAATTGTTTCTCAGGAAAAAAATGTCCCATGAATTTTTCTGAAATGAATCCCTGAAGAGGAAGGAAAGACATTTTGAGATGTCATCTGACCCTTGAAGAAGAAGAACCTGCAGGAAACCACAACAAGCTAGTTAGAAACCAATAAGTGAAAGATGTTCAACCACACTAAATATGGAGTGATAATATCTTTGAGGGTGTATTTGTTTTGCCTATTTATTACATCCCTTCTCTGCCTCAGTGATACTGTTCCTTATGCTAAACAACTCATTTTGTGCTTCTCTGGTGTCTCCTCTTGAGACATTTCAGTAGTGAAAGGAAAGGTTTTTGCATGAGATCCCTTAAGATCTATTTCACTGTGTCTCTTGCACAGTAATAGACAGCCGTGTCTTCAGCTTTTAGGTTGTTCATTTGCAAATAGAAGTTGGAACTGTCCTTGGAGGCAGTAAACCGTCCTTGGATTGTTGGTGAATAATAGTTGCTACTGGATGTGTAGTAGTGAACAAGCCATTCCAGTCCTTGGCCAGGTTTCTGCCTGATCCAATCCATATAGTAGCTGTTAACATTGAATCCAGTGACAGTGCAAGTCAGTTTATGGGATTCTCCTGGTTTCTTCACGACTGGGTCTGATTGGGTCAGAGCTACCTGGGAAAAGCCACCTAAAAAGAAAAGACAAAGTACAATTGGATGATGGTTAGAAACTAAGAGCCATAGTTAATATATGAAAATTCCCTGAGTGCTAGAAAAAGCTAAACATGGAACAAATTACAAACCTTTGGAGAAGGCAGCCAGCATGATGAGAATTAAAAAGTGGGGTGTCATTGTGAAAAAGGAATGAGATTTGCACCTTGAGTTGGAACTGAAGAAGGCAAATGAGAGTTTAAATAGGAAGTGAAAGTCCTGTTGGCTTTGCATAAATCCTGCCGGGACCTGTATAAATATGAGATGAAGTACAGAAGTGTACTGAAATTTAGTTAAAAATAGATGATTACAGAGTGTGTCTGAATCCATGCAGTCCTTGACTAATGGACTGGAATTTTGGTTGTAAGTCAGTGCTGCCATAAGTAAAGACAACCACATGGTTGGACACTAATGTTTAACCATTATTTTCAGTGATTAATAAGAGAAACTTTTGCTTGTTAAGAAAATCTGTTGTTCTGAATGGCACTTTTTTTGCTAGAAACTGAGAAAAAAAATGTCAAAGACCAGAATAAGTAGTTCAAGTGGCCATGTAACTGCCATATACAGCAATTAGTTATATATACAATAAATATAACCTAGATTCCAAGTGCCTGAAATGTAGTTATATGATCTCAAGGAAGGAGGAAGAAGGCAGACTGATATTTTGTGATGGCTGAAAGTGCTTTATGTGCTTTAAAAATTATCTCTAAGGCTGACATAACTGTGAATGGGCATTAAACAACCTTTTTTAGATTAAGGACTACATGTACATGCATGTATAATGCATATTCAATGTTTCATTTCCCTTTTATTAGTCCTGTGACATATTTTACAATATTCTCTTCCAGATTTATGCAGATCCATCAATGCCAGTTTTATGACTAAAAAAGCATTTCAACAATTTGCAACAGTTGGGAGATATGGTCACGTGCAACATCCATAAAATTTCACAAACTAAAGATAGATTTTTCCCCACTTCTGGTCTTGTGGTTTAAGCTTTTGTAAAACTAAATGATTGCTGTTATTAATAGGTGGATTTTTTTGTTCCCTACCTCTGAAATTTAAATGGGAAGTGACAGCAATGTTGCTTTCTCATAAACTAATCCCATTTCACAAAGAGATTTCTTTTATGTTGTTCTGTCAGCTGTTTCTGTCTCTCTTTCTCTCTCTCTCCCCCCTCCCCCCTCTCTCTCATTTTTCACAGGCCACAAATAAATGGTATCTCGCTGTGTGCTCTCGGAAACAGAAATACATAGATGAGTCTGCAGCTACAATAGAACTCACTTGGAGAGAGAACTCATTCCTGGATTGATCTGCAGAAATGGTGACACGGCTTTTCACAGAAGTAGCATACCATTTGCCTCCATTGTTGACATTTATGGCTGAAAGCCATTCAAGGTGTTTTCTGGGTGGTTGCCTGACCCAATGCCAAGCGTATGATGAAGAAGTAGCAATAGAGAAACCTGTGACTTTACAAACCAGGTTGAGTTGACTTCCAGGTCTCACCATTCCTGGCCCAGATTCTACAAGCTGAATGTCTGGAAAGACCCCTTGAAAAAATGAAAAGATTTCAATCAGCAAACAACATTACTGACCAAATAATGGTCTAATAATTTTCTATTAAACATTCTTACATGTTGGGAGAACTGTAAAACAAAATGCAAAGAACCACAATGCTATGATAGCCATCTAGGATGTCCCAGTGAGGTCTTTGAACTTTGATCTCATCCTGGATGTCTTATGCTGAAGTGAAATATCATAAAGTTTTGCATGAGCTCCTCCTCTGTTGCATGTGAAAAATAAATTCAGTATTAAAACCTGGCTTTGTTACAAGGTTGGCTCCTGGACCTCCTTTTGTTCCTTTTGATAAACTGTGATGGAGAGAAATTGGAACTTCAGCTCTTATCTGACATCTGTATTAAAATTTTCCAAATAGATCTTTCAGATATATCAGCATAAATCAGTGTTATCTTTTAGAATTATTTGGAATAAGAAATAAAAATATAATGGAGAAAAATACCCCCCCCCCCTTTTTATTTTATTTTCAGGAGAGATCATAGGAAACAATCCCAAATAAATGAAAGTATGAATAGGATAACTCAGTATTTCCTATTTGAGTTGATCATTTCCTGTATAGATTCATTTGCAACAGAAGGTGATTTTGGAAGACAAATGGAATTACAGCTTCTTGGACAGAAGTCTATAAAAAAATATCAGGACATTGTGCTGAACTAGAAGGCAAGGATCAACCCACATTACTATATGCATTTTCTCGTTCCTTATGGCCACAGGAAAGCATCCAACTTAGTCAAACCCAAAAGAGGATTTTATGGAACTATTCATAAAACAAATGACTTGAGAGAGACTTTTCAGGCTAGCTACTCAAGGGAAGATAATCCAGTTCCCAGAGTTTTGTTACTTAATGTATAAACAAATCAGGGTGAAATAAATAAGAATGTGATATTATTTGGTAACATTAAAGTAATGTGTAGCCCGCATTTCATGATGCTAAATTAGAAAATGATGCTAGGAGTATGTCCATTAAACATTTTAGATAGTTTTGGCATCTAGGAAACCCCATATCCATTAGGCATCCCATATATAATCTTATTAGAACTCTTAGGATAGTTCTCTGAATCATCTTTTCATAGGCTTTTAATATTTGTTATTGTACAAGGTAAAAAGGCAGATGAGTCTGAGTATGTTTTTTTCTTTTCTTTTTGCAGTGTTAAAAGATAAAAGCAAAACAGAATACAGAGGAAATGTTGGAAAGGAAGAGCAATAAAAATATGAAATAGGAAACAAAAAAGACAAAAGAGATTCTTCAAGGAGCAATCTTGATTCATATGGGAGAACAGAACAGAACAAAACAAAACAGAACAGAACAGGACAGAATAACAGAGTTGGAAGGGACCTTGGAGGTCTTATAGTCCAGCCAACTGCTTAGGCAGGAAACCCTATACCATTTCAGACAAATGGCTGTCCAATCTCTTCTTAAAAATTTCCCATGTTGGAGCATTTCATGAAACATTTAACAAAACATTTAATGAAAAATATGTGGGGATCAAAGTTCACTTAGGCTTCTAGAAGATTGCAAAATTGGGATTCAAACAGTGCATACAAATCTGGGGGCATAGTACCCCTGAAAAGGGTGGGAATATCTTGCTCATTTTCCACTCCTCTTTACTTTCTCTGCCACTCTGTTTTTTTTAATTAAAAAAATCCCTTTATTAATCATTAAAAAAAAGAATAAATACAAAATACAATACAATTCATTAAAACAAAATATATATATATAAACATTACATATCCATTTGACAGTGCTTATATACCAAATGTTCCAATACATATTTCATATTTCTCGTTATTTCTCATACATTAACCTCTCTAAACTATCCCTTCCTTATTTATTTACTCGTTGATTTCTATCATTTATCCATTTTTTACAAGTTTTCCCAGACTGTATACCGTATATACTCGAGTATAAGTCGACCCAAATATAAGCCGAGGCACCTAATTTTACCACAAAAAACTGGGAAAACTTATTGACTCGAGTATAAGCCTAGGGTGGGAAATGCAGCAGCTACTGGTAAATTTCAAAAATAAAAATAGATACCAATAAAAACTTTCACTAGGACAGTTGAGAATAAGTTTGATGTTCACAATTTCCTCTTTGAAAGAGACCAGTAAATAGGGAACAAGAAGATGAAGAAAAAGAAGTGTGTTTTTTCACACTTTTCACACTGCAGTGAACAAAAATGGCATCATAGGAACAGGCTTATTCTCAGTCCAAAGGTTTGTTTCTGATTTCTTCCCTGATTTAAGGGAAATTTGGGAAACGACCTCACTATCATGAAAGGTTTAATTGATTCACTAACCCAAAAGATGATGATGATGACTGGGAGGCAGGAGTCACTCTCTCCCTTGCAAGAAAAAAGCAAGAGCCGTTCTTATGATCTCTCTCTCTCTCTCCCTGTAATACAGTCAAGCCCTTTCCAGCACGCGCGATCTGCCACCGCTGCTTTGCACCTTGCAAATGCAAAATCCCGGGGTTTTTGCATTTGCAAGGTGCAAAGCGGCGGGGGCCGATTGCGCGTGCTGGAAAGGGCTTGACTGTATTGGGGGTGGAGAGAGAGAGAGAGAGAGAGAGAGAGATCATAAGAACGGCTCTTGTTTTTTTCTTGCAAGGGAGAGAGTGACTCCTGCCTCCCACTGTCATCAACATCTTCTTTTGGATTAGTGAATCAATTAATTTGGGAAATGATCTCATTATCATGAAAGTCAGTGTTCTCTGCCCGTGGGGCGTTTGGAAGAAAACGCCCCCGCGGCATATCCACGCGCGTGTAAGGGGAATCAGAAATCCCCGCGTTCAACGCTTAGCACGGCAGAAGAGAAAACGCAGCTGTGAGCAAATACTGGGAAAACCTGATTGATCAGAAGGAAGGAGGCAAAAGAGGGAGGGGTGGTGGTGGACGGAGGTCCCACTGGTATTTGTGAAACACTTGGTCGGCAGCGCTTAAAGTCAACGTCCTCGCTCCCACCCACCCAAAGCCACGAAGTCCCCCAATTGCGCAGCCCAGAATCACCCACCCCTCAGGGGGCAGCAACGACGCCCGGTGTTTCCCGAGACAAGAAGCTCCGCCGTGCAATTAAATCGCCCTGGCTCTAGGCTCGCGGGCTCAGAAAACAACACGAGCCGAGGTCACTTGGGCTCCACTCAGCTTCGTTTCCTCAGCCCCAGCTGCTTTCAGTCCGCTCGGGAGGAGGAGGAGGAGGAGGAGGTGGTGATGGCGGCTCGCATTGTTTTCTGAGCCCGCGAGCCTAGAGCCAGGGCGCTTTCATTGCACGGCAGAGCTTCTTGTCTCGGGAAACACCGGGCGTCGTTGCTGCCCCCTGAGGGGAGGCCGATTCTGGGCTGCGCGATTGGGGGACTTCGTGGCTTTGGGTGGGTGGGTGGGAGCGAGGACGGACGGAGTCCGTGAAGTGGGGCTTGCCTGCCCTTGCTAGCTGCCTCTGCTTCCTTAGGGGCGGGGAAGGGGGCTCATCTGGACCAAGGGTGAGTCTCCCCCTCAGTTTCCCCTGAAGGATCTTCCGTCGCTTTTGCCTTCTCCCTACATCTTCCCTCTGTTAAAATTACCCCACACACACACACACTTATT